TTGACTGAGCCGAAAATCTGATCCAGGGGGTTTTCGATAGGCTCGTGGGGGTAGATAGGCATTTTGTGGAGCTGGGTACTGGGAGAGTGATATACGACCTTAGGAGTTCTGTGGAGAGAAGTGGCATTGGGGAGGATCATCTGGTGCATAAGGATATCCACGGGGACGATGTCGAGGATAGAAGTGTTGATCGGTAAAGCCCATTGGATCATCTTTTCTGTTTCTCTTTCTTACACCCAAGCTTATTAGGATGTTCTGAATGTTTTTTGAACAACTCATGATTTTTCCTGACTTGATTCCCTCTTCTACTAGCTCCCCCATTTTTAAGGCATCATTGAATGTCTTCACCAGGGCCGGAATCAAATGACTGAAGTAGGTGGGCCCTTGAGCTTGTAGGAAAAGCTCAACCATTTCTTCTTCACCAATCGGGGTATTTACTCGAGTAGCTTGCTCCCTCCATCCGAGCCCAAACTCTCTAAAGCTTTCCTCCGGCTTCTTTTCCATTTTAGATAGGGAGGAGTAGTCTGGGGTAACACCTGATCTGTATTGAAAGTATCGAACAAAATCTTGAGTCATGTCACCCAATGTAGGCCACTTACCAACATCTTGACGATTATGCCATTCCAAAGCTGCCCCAGTCAGGCTCTCACTGAAGAACGCCATCATCAAATCATATTTCTCGCCAACACTTCTCATTTCACTGCAATAATCCCTCAAATGGGCTACCGGATCTCCACGCCCATCATACAAGTTAAACTTTGGCACTTTAAACCCTGCAAGCAGACGAACATCGGTGGACAAAGACAATTCTTTGTAAGACATATTACCCTGGTCTCCCATTTGCTTGTTCTTTAAGGACTGTGCCATGTCTTTCAGCCTCCTGGGTATCTCGTCTCGCCCCTTTCTTCCTGTGAACTTTTCATTTTCAATATGAGGCTCATCCTGCGGGCACTGCTTGTATGAGTTGGGAACCTTGTGGGCAACCTCTGAGGGGTAATATTGGGCATCATGAGCTTTGAGTGGGTGTTCATTGTTGGGGATGGTGGATAAGACAGGAGGGCGATTTTGGGGAGAGGTAATTGGAGGATGAGTGATGGAGCTACTAATACGGTTGGGAAAGCTATGATAAGCAGGTAGATCTAGAGAGTATGGAAGATCATCTGGAATTGTGTTCAGAGCTTGAGTAAGGGCGACATCTAGGAATCTAGGTGGTGGCAGGGGTGGTACCTTCCCAGTCATCCAAGTCTGATACATGTCTGTCATGTGTTGTCTCAACATCTTTACCTCTTCAACCAACCCATTGTCCTGTTCAACCAACTGCTTTCGAGCGCCGGTATCAACCAACTCAGTTCTGTTGTTGTCTGCCATTGCCTTTTGACTTTATGTTGTAGAGAAGAGTTACCACTTTAAAACCACAAACCAACCACCCTTCTGCTATGAATATAACAAAATGAAGTCATCACGTTAGCGTTAGGGCATTTAACATAATATAATATCACATTGCGTGCAATGCACCTAGTCGCAATTATTGGTTCTAAAATGACTTAGAGGGTATGAAGGTCATTTGGCATCATCCCAATTTGTTCATTTCAACCTCTCTCTTCTTTGTTTTTCTAACGCTTCTTAGCTCGCTCATTTTCCTTCTCCTTTTTCTTTCTGATTATCTCTCTTTTTCTTCCTTCTCATTTCTCACATCCCATGACTTCACCCTTTTTTTTTTTTTTCCTTTTCTTTTAATAAATAAAAAATGATTCGATCGAACCCGATGTAGGTTGCCTATGAATCATGACGCCGCATAAATTAGATCTTTGCGTAGTTTGGGAAGATCAGGAATAAAGGAAACAAACTAACATTCTCATTTCGTTTTTTTCCTACCTTAATGACTACTCTGATGAGAAAAGAGAAATAAAAGAAGCAAAACCATTTTTTTTTCTAAACTTAATGTTCTATAACCTATTTTAAACTCAAGCTAAACGGATTTTTTTTCTTTTCTTTTTGGAAACAAATACTCTATTAAAGAAAAATCCTAGAAGAGAGAAAGATATTTTTTGACTATTCTATTTTTTTTTTTTGAATTTTCATTCGATATCCTTGAAGACAAACTTCGTAATGAGAAATGAAAAAGACAAAATTATTTTTTGGATTTCAATTTTGATTGCCTAAAGAAGAATTTCTAATGATAAATAAAGGATAAAGTATTTTGTTTTTCTTTGTACAATATCCTAAAGTTCTAATGAAAATAAAAATAAAAAAAAAATTCAGTTTTCACTAATTTTCCCAAGAAACGCCTCAAAAGAAAATCTTTTTGGATTTTGGAATTAATACCTTAAAGAAGGATTTTAAAGAAGTACTAAAAGAAAATTCTCTTTTTTTGTTTTTTAATTTTGGTCCTAAATTAGTATAGAAAATATAAAAACAATTCATTTTAAGTCCTAGATATTAATTTCCTAAAGGAAAAACAACCTCAAAATATTTCATTGCTAGAATTAGTATTCTAAAGAAAATTTATAACAAAATATAAAATGCAACATCCTTTTTTTTTTTTGCCTTTTGATTTATAACACACTTTTTCAGATGCAAAATAGAAACTACAATGGTAATAAAAAAACTCGACATTACTATACAAAATTAGAAAGTAAAAGACGACATAAAATGAAGAACAGACTCAAAACTTAAAAATGAAACAAATCTCCTCAAGCAACTCCTGACTGAGCGATCCTGACCGGATGGTCACGGGGTGTCTGTCATGCTCAAACTCCATTAAGTAGATCCACACCTGTGTGAGAAAGTTTGAACTAGCACTATGTGAGACAATAACATTCCCTAAGACACATGCAAGACATGATTGAGGCTATTTTTGCAAAATGGCTTATTTGGCCAAAAGGTGGCTAGAAGTGCAAAATTTGGCTATGACCCCGCAAAGCCAAGAACCTAAGATTCACTAGGAAGACCGGACCCTATGTGGGTTGCCTACGTATCATGTCCCGAAAGACGAGAATCAGGTATGCGTAGTTCGAGCAGATTGGATATGGGCGAGAATAATAAAAAAACAACTGACATATAGAAAACACATTTTTTCTCTTTTTTTCGAAAAATGATGAAACATATAAAATATTTTTGGATTTTCTTTTTTTTTCGATTTTTGAAAAATGATAAAATTGCAAAATAATTGGGCTCTACTCGCTTCATCCTCACACTTCTCCCTCTCTTTTTCTTTTTTTTCTTTCTTCTTTCTTTTTTCATTGTTTTTTTTTCATTTCTTCATTTACCCTCAGCTATTATTGGTCTGCCAAATGACCCTTTTACCCTTGAATAAATGCAACATGTAGCACATAAGATACATCAGGATGGTCTTTTAATTTTTGGGGTATACCTGTCCTAGACGGACCCAACCCCTGTGTTGAGTCCCCTAAGTCAAGTGCACATGATGCAAACAAATGTTCTTACTAGGGATACGGCATGAGGTCTTGTTGTACTAGGTTCAAAACTTGGGTTTATTGTTCTAGACCTGGCTTACCCGAGCGGACAGATCGAGTCGAAGGGAGGGCAGCGTACCGGAAATACAGAAGCTTTACCGGCTATGCAACTTGTCCGAACCTCGTTCTAAATTTGGAATATGACTCTAACAGAAAAAAAGTCACACGAAGTGCACACTTCTTCATGATTTAGAAGACTTAGAGAGAAGAGGGCTTTCGCAACAGTTTATATACAGTTCACGGAATATCAAAGTGGTAAAAGCAACCAATTAGCACATTAGGCCCAAATCATGTAACAAAATCAGATAATGGATAAAGCCAACTATAACAATTATTCTAAGCTCAAATTCTTGAACCCTGAACCAGAGATTCTGGGTTCGATCCCCAGTAGAGTCGCCAGAGCTGTCACATCTCCTTTTTACCTACACCCCATAAGGGTGTATATATAGGGAGTTTTTCCAATTAAAGGACAATCGAAACGGGATTTACTGTTAAAAAATTCAGAGTCGCCACGTGGGAGATTTATGGTGTCCCAAGTCACCGGTTCAAATCCCGAATCGAGGAAAAAATTGACTCTATTTAACAGTCCGCGCACCAGAAATCCGGATAAGGAATTTTGTTAACCCAGAGAAGGTGTTAGGCATTCCCGAGTTCTGTGGTTCTAGCACGGTCACTCAACTGTTATAATTAGCCTATTATCTGATTTTAAAACATTTTGCACCTACGTGCATTTTAACATAAAATTGCTTTTATTTATTTTAGAGAAAATTTAACGTCGTCTAAAATATGTCTTTGGACCGCGCCACATGAAATGCACCCGCAATCCGAAACACATTTTATTCAATGCTATCACGATTTGGATTTGGGTCACATGAAATGCACGCCCGAGTTTAGGAAAGTAATATTATTAAAATAACGCGCCTAAAGCAACTACGCGTTTTTAACTTTACGAGGGCCATGAAAATTCGCTAAATGGCACGCCTCGAATTCTAAGTATTTTAAGGAAAAATAATTAAACGAGGGCCAAGCATTTGAGATTTTTATTTGGCTTGGCATGCCTCAATTCTAGATTCGAAAAGAAGGCTGATCTAATTAACTAGAAGACCTAAAGAGGTTCGCATCTTTTATTCTAAAGCTAAGGTTCAATGAGCTTAATACTTAGTGGGCTGATATTAAAAACTGATACCTTGACTATTTGATAAGACTAAGGCCAACAGCAAGCCTTATATCCTCAAACAGGCCAGGCCCGACTAGATACACAATACATGAAGGGCCCAGGAATATGCCAAAGAAACGGCAATGTAGCATAACAGGCCCAAGAGGCCCATCTCGATGTACTGCCTGTTGCATGCCCATGCTAACCCCAAACTGATGACAAGGAAAATATGGCGTCAACCAAAAATATCCAAGACTATCATGATTTAACAGCTTGCTGCAGTTAAACAAAACAATAAATTGAATTTGAAATTCTTAATCAAAGGTACCAGAACCTTATACTAACAGGATACTATCGGAATGCACAACTAGAACAAACTAACTTATGTAAGTTCAACAATCAATCACAAACTGGTTTTAAGAGAACAATTCCGCAGGTGAAACGACATACTATTACACTATTGATTATGGTATAATTGACAATCTATTACAGTGATCCCATGGCACACATTGTCCAATTAATCATACATACACAGCATCAAATGTGCAAGTGATAGCTTAGATAACATCTAAAACTACATATCTACTACAGAAGATTAAAGTAGTAGGAGGAACAGGGGAAGCTAAGTTCAAATGCAACCTGCGTTCAATTAGTATTCCACCCGATTCACATGTTCAACAATCACTCATTATTCATGGGCTAAGGAAGTACCTGGGAAGCAAAAGAAATAAGAGATTGAGAGATCGGCAGCAAGCAATAGTGGTCAGCCCAGAACCAACAACACCAATGAAACAGTAAATCTTCCACAGTCAACCAAAAAGCTTTTTCAATGGAACAGTAAAGGAAGTCCAAAATCAACTTTAAACCAAAAGCTCAAGCCATTTTTTTTAACCAGAAATGCAGCTAGAATGAATTTTTAACTATTCTGCAGAAATTTAATGGGTTTTTTAACAATGAAATGCAGGCACTTCAACACCTAAAAGTATTCTGCCCTTTTAGCTTTTCTCAAGGAGTATTTTTCTTTGAAATCTGACTTGAATAGCAAGTCTTGATGCCTTTATAGGCAAGACATTAGGTCAGCCTAAAAGAATTCAACTTTTGCAATTAGATCCTTTTTACATTTGCAATATAGCTTAGATATCCCTAGGCAACTATCAGATTTTCGGTTAAGTCCTAATGACAGCTTCTGGGAAGCTTCCTATTTCAGTTATAGAGAGATTCTTTACCTAGATTTCTCAATTTACCCTTTTAAACCCTGTTAATTACCTTGCTAACCAAACAAACTTGGGCGCAAAACAACCGGGCATCTTGAATTGGGTCAGAAATGACTCAAAAGCTCAAGGCTGGTTCCAAATCAGTCCCAATGAACATTCAGAAACTCAAATTCTGACCAAAAAGCCCCAACAACACGAGTAAACAATTTGACTCTGCGCTGACTATTACCTTGACAATTATGAATTAAAAGTAACAAGATCATTAATAACAAGGTTGACACAGCAAAATCAACCCTAAGCGGGTTTGGAATAATTAAACAAAGATACTTGTCACACCTCCTTTTTACACACACGAAGGTAGTATAAGAGAGTTTTTCCAATTTAAGTGACATTAATCGAAATGGGATTAATTATTCATTTTTTGTTCAGAGTCGCCACTTGGGATGGTTTGTTTTTTGGTGTCCCAAGTCACCGGTTTATTTTTAAATCCCAAATCGAGGAAGATTTCGACTTTCCTTTTGAAGTCTGCGAACCAGAAATTCTGAGTAAGGAATTCTGTTAACCCGGGGGAAGGTGTTAGGCACCCCTGGATTCCGTGGTTCTAGCACGGTCGCTTAAACTATCATAATTGGCCTATTATCTGATCTTAAAACATGTTTTATCCTATGGTATAATTTTAAATTATTAACTACTTTTAATTAATTTTAGAAAGATTCAACGTTATCTAAAACACGCCACATGAAATGCACCCGCGGTCCACGACACATTTTATTTAATGTTGTTGAGATTTGGATTTGGGTCACATGAAATGCACACCCGAGTTTAAAGAAATTAATTTAAATAGCGCGCCTAAAGCAACTACGCACTTGAATTATTTTCCTAATCTTTGAGATTATTGTGAAGGCTATAAGATTGTGGATGTTTATTTTTGTGTTAAGGGCTTGATAATGTTCCTATTATTGTAAAGTATAATTATTTAAAGACATGAAAAATAAACTAGCTACAAGTAGGACCAACTTAACTTAAAATGATTCATTCTCATTATTGTCCAATGAAGAAGGAAAGCAACTTCTCTACTTACTTTACTGAAACATTTCATCTACAGTTAATCCCAAACCCATTAATACTAAATAAATCGCTAACAAGACATATATGAACTTAACTCTACCATATCAATTTTCCAATTCCAACTAGAACGACTCATAAAGTAAAATAATAAAATATTAATAAAACAAAAACATAACCCATTAAGATCTAGCTATTTTCAACGTAGAAGACTTACTACCATTTAATAACTACACAAATTAGCATTCTCATAGAACAACATATAAAAGAAAAGATAATGAAATAGCCAATATCCGTAAAGAGGAAGAACGCACAAGTTAATTTCCTCAAGCTTAATATTAAACATAATGCAAATCACAAGCAGCTTTCAAACAAACAGAACCTATAAAAATGAGATTCAAGCATTACATCATCCAATCAAACTAGTTACATGAATGAAATTAAAGTCATACCTCAACAGCCAAGTAAATATCCCAAAATAATCAGATAAAGGCTGAACATGTGAATCAATAGGACAGGGACAACAGAGCAGTAGCGAACAGCAATTCCATCGGTCTCCTTTCTTTTTTTTCGCTAGCTTTAGCTTTTGAATTCCCAAATCTGGGATTTTTGAATTTCGAAAATCATGGTCTTTTTGTGGAAATGGCGTGAGTGAGGGGTGAGGAGGAAGAAGGCTAGAGTTTCTTCAAAAGAAGGGGTTCTGTGGTGTTTTTTTTTTTTTTGAGAAATGAAAAATGAAGAAGTCATGATTACTTTTGTTGTTCTTTTTGCAGAATGGGGTTATGGGGAGCTCCTTAGAGCTGATGGAAAACGGCGGATTCCTTTTGGTATTAGGTGTTAGATACTATTATATAGGGGTAGGGATTAGGTTAGGGTATGGACCTAGAAAATATGGGCTTGGTAATTATAGATTAGGTCCAAAAATTAGGCCTAAAGATGGGTTGCTCAAGCCCAAGTTTTATTCTTTCCTTGCGAACGAGATTAAAATACGATCTCATTTATTAATTAGTCCTACTTAAGTAAAACAAATGTTAAATTAGACTGGCCGTTAAAATAAACTATTTTTTTTTTGTATTTTCAAGATTAAAAATGACTACAAAATATTAATGGAACAATTTTTATATTTTTGATTTTTCTTGTAATAAAATAAAGTAAAAGAGTAAAAATGAGTTAAAATAGCTATATTAGGCCTAAATTAAATATTTACGTGCTAAAATATAAAACATCTTGGGGAGGATCAAAAATCGCATGTCTACAGCTGCCCCTCTTTGACTGGAAACGCAAAGAGTTTTCAGACAAAGAACGACTAGACAGGTTTTTTGACCCGATCCTTATTTACAGGGACCAAAAATTAAGAGAAATGAGAATTTGACCGAGCCCTGGTCTCTGAGCTGCCTACATATCCTTGGCTATAAAGGAATCAGGCCACATGTAGTTCAGAAGTGAGTGAGATGATGGAGTATGCCGAGGTGGAGAGCCAGTCGAGGTGTCGTTCCATCGAGGTTCCGGTCTGCGGTCCCGTTATTATATCAAAATCAAAAATGAAAAAGACTAACTACGCCTATCAGCTACGAGTTACAAGATTCCAATCTATGAGTCTTCTGAAATTTGATCTTGAGTCTTGGTTGGTTCTGGATTGTGACAAACTTCTGTTGATCATCTCGGACTGCTGACTCACATTCTTGACGCGAGCTTCTTTTGTTGCTGACCTAAATTGCATTCTGAATTGAATTCCCTTTTTTCCAGGTGGGCGCCTGATTGCTGAACTTGAACTGACTTCCTTTGAAACTTGAACTGTTTTCTCTTGAAACTCGAACTGTTTTCCCTTGAAACTTGAACTGTCTTCCTTCGAAACTGCTTTTTCTTGAAACTTGAACTATCTTCCCTTGTTCTCTAGGTGAGCTCCTGATTGCTGAACTTGACCTGTCTTCCTTCGAAACTGGAACCGTTTTCCCTTGTTCTCCAGGTGGGCGCCTGATTGCTGAAACTTTCTGTGTTCCCTTGTTTTCCATGTGGGTGCCTGCAATCAAAACCAACAAAACAAATAAAATTTTCTGCCCCAGTTTGCACTAGGAAGATTTGTGAGTTGTTAGCAGTATTGTAAACCACTTATACTATTGATGCGATGATGAGTAAACTAAAGACTATACTAGGATGTACGTCTCCTAAAAGTGATTGAGCTTGCAGAAAACTATAAACTAAGCTTGACTAAAGTAAAGACTGACCCTAATTTCCAGGGGGACCCCTGATTTCAAGAAAACTAAACATTGATAACTTAAGAAAAATAAAAATTGACCCCTCTCTTTTTGCAAATTCAGACTTCTTTTTTTCAAAATATCCTAGGAGAAAATTCGTCAGACTAGGTTTTCTATCTTAGGAGAAAGATTCATCCGACTAAGACGTTTACCCTAGGAGAAAGTTCGTCAGACTAGGTCTCTTTTCTTATCTTAGGAGAAAGATTCATCCGACTAAGACGTTTACCCTAGGAGAAAGTTCGTCAGACTAGGTCTCTTTTCTTATCTTAGGAGAAAGATTCATCCGACTAAGACGTTTACCCTAGGAGAAAGTTCGTCAGACTAGGTCTCTTTTCTTATCTTAGGAGAAAGATTCATCCGACTAAGACGTTTACCCTAGGAGAAAGTTCGTCAGACTAGGTCTCTTTTCTTATCTTAGGAGAAAGATTCATCCGACTAAGACGTTTACCCTAGGAGAAAGTTCGTCAGACTAGGTCTCTTTTCTTATCTTAGGAGAAAGATTCATCCGACTAAGACGTTTACCCTAGGAGAAAGTTCGTCAGACTAGGTCTCTTTTCTTATCTTAGGAGAAAGATTCATCAGACTAAGACGTTAATCCTAGGAGAAAATTCATCAGACTAGGTCTCTTTTCTTATCTTAGGAGAAAGATTCATCAGACTAAGATTTTGATCCTAGGAGAAAGTTCATCAGATTAGGTCTTCTATCTTAGGAGAAAAATTCATCAAACTAAGATTTTTATCCTAGGAGAAAAGTCATCAGACTAGGTCTTCTAATTTGTTATCTTAGGAGAAAGATTCGTCAGACTAAGATTTATATCCTAGGACAAAATTCATCAGACTAGGTTTTCTATTTTAGGAGAAAAATTCATCAGACTAAGATTTATATTGGGAGGAAAATTCATCAGACTAGGAATTTTTATCCTAGGAGGAAAAATGTGAAGATCAATGTCAAGATTTTATGCACAATAGCAAGACAAATAAAGGCAAAGATTTGAGAAACTTCCCTTTGTCGGCTCTTCTCGTCTTTTCTTTTTCTTCTCTTTTTTTGTTGTTTTTTTCATTTTCTTCTTTTTGAATCACTTTCCTTGCACCGCTTTGTTCCTGTTTCATACAAAGAAAAATTTGTCAGTTTGAAAATGGTGGTCGGTTTGTGGCCTTGAGTCTTGGGCAGTTGGCTTCTGCTCAATCAGCTTGAGTCGGTCTCAAAAGACTTTTGTTCTGCACTAACTCTGATTGTTTCACACCAGTACCATTTGTATTTGCATCTCAAACAACCTTATCCCAATTGAAGATCTTTGCTTAGGTGACATTTTCCGATATCTTGAATGACTTCCTACTTTTGAGCAATTTGTCTGTCGGAGAGAATCATCAGTTATCTTTGTTTGCGCCAAGTAGGCTGACAAGAGTCTTTAGGGGGAGCCTTTGCATGAATCCTCAAGGCATGTTGACAGTAATAACTGAGTGTGCTGGCCAAATTCACTTTGTGCAACTGAAAAGCTGGTAGCGGTTTTGAGATCTTTTCTTGCTTGTTTTGACAAGGACTGACTCAGAGTGAAGGACACAATGGTGCAAAAAAAATAAGTATTAACAAGAAATGCCCCTGTCGGAAAGACGGAAGGAAGAATGTTTTTTTCTTTTTTTTCAATAACTAGCCTTAATGATCATGACATGCATTTTGGACTTAACAGCCGATCTATCAAACTGACCAAATCTTCACTTTTACCATTCTTATGATCTTTGAAGTCAGGCCTATCCATGCCAATCCTTTGCATCAGCTTCACGACTTACTTTCGACTAATGGTGCCCCGAGAAATTTTCACCAACAAGCCTCTCTCATTTATTCATCTCTACTTACCGTCGTCTTACTGTGCCCGTGAAGGTTTTCACTAATAAGACTCTCATTTTTCTTTTTCTTTCCCTTTTTTTTGCGAGCAACTCGACGATGTTCTACGTTGTATGACAACTATCGCTCATTGCATGCGTCTCTTGGCATTCTTGAAGGCATATTGGGAGGTCTTTATTTGGAAGGTTTTTGAATAGGGTTGGAAAGAAAGGTCGGCATAAAGGCTCAAAATAAACTCAAAATGAGGGGTTGCAGACTTACAACTCTTGAAATTGACTCTTCAAAAATGAAATTAAATCTTTGCCCCAGTTTCAGATGCTGGGGGTTTTTGGATTTTTTTATTTTTTCTATTTTTTTTCTTTTTCTTCTAAATTCTTATTTGGTTGGACTGAATCGTGAGGCTGCCTACGTATCCTTATTTTAAAGGAATCAGGTCTAACGTAGTTCAAACATCTGACCTAAACTATTTTTCATCTTTCTTTCTGTTTCTCTTTTCCTTTTTTCTTTTTTTTTCTTTTTTTTGTTTGCCCCAGCTTCTATTTTTGAGGGCATGGACCTTTGATAATTCTTTTTTTTTCTGAACTTTCTAAGAATTGCCCCAGTTTGTACTCTTGGGACATGGATTTTTTTTTTACAATAAACTTGATTCCAAAAGAGGGTAGTCAAAGAAAAATAACACATGCTTAAAAGGGGTGGCAAAGGATATGAAGTATTTGGGTAGCAGAAAAAGGGCCTCCCAACCTCAAGAACATCAAACATGGTATCTTTTCGCGATCACAGCATTGACGAACATGTTTGTCTTCTTGGTGTGTCGTGGTCACAAGACAGTTCTCATCCCTTAGTGCCAAACTTTCCAACAAACATCAATTGATTAAACATCCTCAAGCCCGATCTTCACAATGCTTTGAAGGTGAATTTTACTCGACCTTAGTTCCAAAGTATTCCAACTCTTTATTCATCCTCAAAAGTATTTTTTTAGTTATCCAATTCTAGATTAAATCAGTTCCTAAGATCTGGCCAAAATTTCCCCATGCATGTCATGTCATTAGAACTAGCAAGAAAAGAACTAGGAACAGAATGACACAAAAGGACAAATTGTATTTTATTGAGTAAAGGATGAAAGGGTTTTACAACTAAACAAGCAACCTAAAATACAAGTTACAACCCTAAAATAACCCGAATAATGAAAATAGCAACAGAACAGACAGACAAGACTCACACAAATAGAATGGAGGGATAGAAGGATTTGACTCAATAAAACAAATAAAATCTAGATCACAACCCTGAAATAACCCAGATAATAGAAAAACATCAAAACAAGCTACCAAGATTCCTTCCTAGTGAGGAGGGAATGACTTTTCAATTACTAGGCTTGATATTTAGCCACAAATTTGCTCATCAGAATCAGCAGAGCCTTCCAATTTCAAAATCATTAATTTCAGTTAGCAAATTCCCAAGAGGATTCTCATACTCCCTGTCACCACGCGTCATCCCCACAAAGTGTACATCATCATGTGCGGGTAAAGGATTCTGTGCGATATTCTGGGTGTCACAGTCTTGGATCACAATTAGGTTTTCTTGGATCATCCTTTCTATTTCTCTTTTCAAATCCCGACAGATTTCAACATTGTGCCCCTGGGCATTGGAATGGTATTCACACCTTTTAGAAGGGTCAAAGATTTTTGCACGTGGGTCCATATGATTTGGAGGAATAGGTGCAATCATGTCATAATGCTTTAATTTCTCAAACAAGCTTGCATAGGACTCTCCTATTGGTGTAAAATTATCTTTCGATTTTTGTTCCTCTCTATACCTCTGGCTTGGATGTGGGTTATAGGGTACCTGAAAATTTTGTGGAAGCTGGTGGAGATTTTGTGATGCTCGTGCTCGCCTTCTGGGGTGTTTTGGTGGC